CATGCATAGTATTGAGGGTATATAAGTTCGTCATTCCGTTTATAACTCATCGAAATAATAATTTTAGACCCAACAGCGTAAAATTCTAAGATGATTTAGCCCTATCCGTCTATTGTAATCACGCTACAGTCAAAACGAATTAAGATAGGAAGCTAAAATTTTGCACAGGTCTGTCTTTTGTCTGCAGGCAGTTCGAATATGGGCTATATCGGTTCACGATATCGTATAGCCCCCACACAACGGTACCCCCCCATTGATTTGATGATTTTAGCCACATTTTTCAATGGAATTGTCTGAAATTCTACACAAGGAGTTCTTTGTTAGTACTTTACCCCGGTCCACTATATCGCATATCCCCCATACAACGGCACCCCCCGATATTCGATATTTTTATGATTTTAGCCACATTTTTTAACGGAATTGTCGGAAAATTCACACAAAGAGTTCTCTGTTTTTCTCTATCTTTATCCCCTAGAACAGAATTGTCTACATAGGTCCACGATATCGTATAGCCCTCATATAACGGTGCCCCCTGATATTCCTTATTTCGATGATTTTAGCCGGATTTTTCAATGAAATTGTTCTATTCTACACAAGGAGTTCTTCGTGACTACTTTTCCCCCTGGAAGAGAATTGTTAATATAGGTTCACGATATCGTATATCCCCATATAACGGCACTTTCCGATATTCGGTATTTTGATGATTCTTGCGACATTATTCACCGGAAAAATTTCAAATTTTGTATATAAATTTCGGAACCGTTACTACAGCCTATAATACAAATTAAGGCGGTTTTCATTCAAGCGGTATGTTTCGACAGATTTTTTTTTGGAAAATTTTCAAGTTTTTTCCAAATGGTGGAGGGTATAAGCTGCTTTTTTACTTGTTAACATTAAGCTCCACCATAATTGTTATTGTTTTTTAGTATAAGATACGAGGTTAATGAAACTGGAGCGCTACACGAATAAACAACGCATTCTCATTATGAAATTGTTTTATCAAAATTGCGAAAGGAGTCAACTGTAAAGAGATTAATGGATACATTTGCAGAAATTGGGGCAGTTAGTCGTGCGAAAACAACAAAGTACCTTCGAAAATATCGCAGCTGTACTTGATAATGTCGCTCAAACTCCATTCCTCAATCCGACATCAAGCTCAGCAAACTGTTGTCTCCAAATCCATTCAAATTTCAATTGACTCTGGAATTGGAGCCAGGTGACCGTGGACAGCGAAGGGAGTTCGTTAATTTGGTACATGAATATGGTGATCATCTTCAGTGATGAGGTCAATTTACATCTTGATGGCTTCGTCAATGAACAGAATTGTTGCATTTGAGGCGAGGAAAATCCTCGAATGATTCACGAGAAGCAAATACAAGTCACTGCGTCTGGTTTTCGGACTGGAGAAATCATAGGACCTTTTTCTATGAAAACAAGCAATCAAAGGCTAAATAAACGGAAATGTTGAACCTAATTGCTCCTATTTTCGAATAACTATCATAAATGTTTAATGTGTATTCGAAAACCGAAGATAGAAACTTTAAATTCCTCAATATGATTTCCTGTATCTCCGATATTTGACTATATTCGTCAAGAAAATCCGCATTAATATAAAGGTCAGAGGTGTTTTTTTTTTGGTATTTTTTCACACACAAATTTGGTCCATTATTTCCACAACTAAGTATTATCCGACGACCATCAAAAATATTAGACGTAAGGGCTGTTCTAGACTCTAAACTCATAAATATATATATATATATATATATATATATATATATATATATATATATATATATATATATATATATATATATATATATATATATATATATATATATATATATATATATATATTTATATATATATATATATATATATATATATATATATATATATATTTTTTTTTTTTTTTTTTTTTTTTTTTTTGTCAATTTTTAAACCTAAATATTTGCGAACATCTTCTAATAAACAAGGCTTTTTTTTTTGATCCTTAACCTAACCCAAGCTAAATTTCATGCAGATTGGACGATAATTGCGACCTAAATATAATACCCCTAACACATGTGTTGTAAGGTGAAAAAAATACTTCAAAATGTACCGTTCAATATTTTAAGTCAAATTAAAAAATTGTATGCGATAAAAATATGACAAAAAATTAAAAAAAAAATATTCGAGAAAATATTGACATGTTTATTATTTTTATTAACATAATATTGTTTAGATGACCTATCCGGTACCTCCTCCACAAAGTCACAATTTTAAATATCTAAATCTCTTATAATTAGCAAATAAGTCTGCGATTGTTTTCAAGGTTGGTATATCTAAATATGTCTCTCAACCAGAGATCTGATGTGAATATGGATTTTATGGGATCACTTGTTCTCGTTTCTCTCTCAGAAACGGTTAACAATTATTCCTATAAAATTAGTAATAGATGTCTGATTTTCTTTAAATTTTGTATATCTCAATATAACTGTCAGTATTAGATGAAGTGGAACACTTCAGTCCACTATATCTGGTATCTCATGCATATTTCAAAAATTTTCAAAAATTATCACATATCTAATATAAAGTGATGATAGAATATATTGCTTCACTACTTCCGGTCAAAATTTTCAAAATATTCATGAAGTTCATAAAACGCGAAATTAATATCCGATTCCATTTAGACTTGGTACAATTCAATGTTTCCATTAACATAAGATCTGTTATAATAACGGTAGAGATCTGACCATTTCTTCTGGTACCTCCCTCACATAGGGTTCAAGATTTTTCAACTCTTTTCAAATTAAACACATACAAACATTTTTGCTAACACAAGATCTGTTGTGAAGAACCCCTTCTTGTACCTCACACACAAAAGGTGACTCTTTTCAATACTTTTATCTGTTATAATTTGTTTTAGTCCTTTGAATATCCTTTAAAAATTGTTTAAAAAATCCAAAGCAAATGAAAAGTGACAGGTCTAAGCAACTTGGTTTATTTCCAATAACAAAACCAATAACATTGGCTTCTATGACAACCAAAACCGATAAAATTCTAATTCGAAAATAAAACCGATTACATTGATTTTCATGACACCACAGCATTTTTTCTTGTCGTTTTTAAAACCAATAGTGACAAAATTGGTTTCTATGACAGCCCTGAATAAGTAGATCATTTAGTAGCAATTTTTTTTTGTAACTTTTCGATTTTTAGTTCTGAAAGCATGGCTTTTGGTATTTCCATGTAACTTTTGGTACAAATTTCAGAACTACTTGTAAATCCTATGCCGCATAAAAATACTCATATAGGTACATAAAATTTTGAACATTAAGCTCCATAATTTGATAGCATAAAATGTATAACCCAGAAAGAGACGAATCGTAGTGAATCTTTCGATGGACTTTGTTCTCCATTTATCTGGCTAATTGGTTCTCCATTTAAATGGCTAACCTGCATTTGTTTGTAACATGGAAGAGGGAGAAAAACAGACCCATAATTCCTTTCGTTGATCTGCAAGAATCACATTCTGAGTCAATTTATTCATGTCCTTCCGTCCGTCCATGTATTTTTGTAAACAAAGTACCGGTCGCATTTATTGTCCGATCAAGATGAAACGTTATTGGGGAAACATATCAAATACAGGGTGAAATAAAAAAATTGCAACAAAGTCAAAAGCCATAATTTTTTACATTTTTTTTTTTTAATTTTATTGAATGGAATCCAAAAATTTCGTATCACGATCATTTTCTTTGTTTACAAACTGCTGGACAACGAATGTTTTCACATCGAAGAAAACCAAATTCGGCAGTTCACCATTTTCGGCCAAGCGAAGCAACTTAGCACTTTTGAGTCTATTTTCTTTCTGTTGTGGTGTAAGTTCTTGCACTTTTTGGAATTTCAATGGCTTTACCCCTAGCTCATTTTTAAATATTTGACGAATGGAATGTTGCGATATGTTCAGCTCACGAGCCATTTTCGGTCACTGCGACGCGGGTTTCGATCAAGTCGCTTCTTTATTTTTCGAACCATTTCTGCTGATGTTGTTGTTTTCTTCCGTCCACGTCGGGCTACGCTACCAGTATCACGGTAACGAGCGATGGAACGAGACACAGAAGATTTATTCACATTTAAATGCTGGAGCGTTGTAACGATAGCCACTTGTGGTTTTCCAGCCAAACATAAAGAAATCACATTATCACGCTTCAATTCCATCACGAATAAGTTTTTTTTGGAAAATTCTCACCAAAATGCTTTGGTGCGCGTGTAAACAATATAATGAGCTGTCACTGGAATAATTTTAACAGCTGTCGGACGAGTGGCTTAGAAATGTCAGCAGTCTGAAGATGGTTGCAGTTTTTTCATCTCACCCTGCTCAGCTGAGAAATACCTTTGCCAAATCTTATCAAGGTTGGATATAGCTCCCATATATACCTTCCATATAGTAGTCCCTTTCGGCTTTAAATTATATCTGATTTAAAGTCATAATACGTATTTGACGATCATCAAGTCACCATAAAAACGTTTATTTGTTATGGCTAGCCCTATAATATATTTATGAAAAGGTGTAGGGTATGATAAAAGGCGGCCACGTCCGACTGTGAGCCTTTCTTTACCTTGTTTTTTTTTGTGTTGCCAATCTGTTACACAAACCAAACATTGCGTAAAGAATTAAAACTATAAGCATAACTAATTTGCTTTTAAACAAATTACCATAGCAGCCTTTCAAACGGCGGGGAGAGAGAGAAGAAAAAACACAGTTTGTTTTTTTTTTTTTTTTTTGTTTGTTTAATAATTTCATATAGTTTTTATTGGATGTTTCACTTTTTGTTGCTGTTGTTGTTGTCGGTTGTTATAATATGTATAATTTAATTAACTACATTTAAGTTTGTATCATTTTTTCTTGGTTGTTTCAGAGTTATTTTTTTGTTTGTTTTTGCTTTCTTTGTTTTTAATTAAATTAAATTTATATATAATTTAATATTTTTATATTTTGTTTATTTCATTTCGCAGTTACACGAATTCGTATCGGTGTAAAGTGTACCTCTAAACTTGGTTTGTTTATCTCTGTATTCTTTATTTTTTTTGTTTTATTTCGTTTGTTTTGTTTGAAAAAATATAAAATAAGAAACTTATATTTGTTGTTTGTTCTTGTTATTGTATACAATAAATTTTACATTATATTATTTACATTTAAGTAACGCAGTTGCTGTTTATTTTTTTTAAGTTTTATTTATTTATTTATTTGTTTTAAAGAAATTTTGGACATAATTGTTGTTGTTGTTTTTGTTTCGTTTGTGGTCTTATGGCTAAGTTTAATCTAAGCTTAACTTTAAAAAATATATTTTGTTTTAGGTTTCAATTTTTTTCATATTTTTTTCCTCCTTCTTGCAGCTTCATGTTTTTTCGTTCTTTTACTTAAATTTACTTATTCTCTTAACTTAAAATAACTTAGTTTGCATTAATTTTAAATGGTTTTTTTTTTTTTTCAAATATTTTTCTGCTTTCATTTATGTTATATCTTAAAGTGTTTTAAACAGTTGTGGGAAATTTTCATGTTTTTGTTGTTGTTTTTAATGTAATGTATATATAGTAAATATAAATTTATATGTAATTAGGTAGAATTAAATGTAATTCGTTGACCAAGTTTTACAGTATTAAATGGAAGTTCGAAATACGAGTGTGTATGTGTGGACTTAAACAGCAAAAAAAGAAGGAATACAAATAAATAGGTTTTTAAAGTTAAAGCAAATGCAACGCTTCAATAATTGAAACTAAAAGCTTTCTCATGATGAGTGTTTTTTTTTTTAATTATTTTGAATAATTTTGTAAAACAAAATTTTAACTATTTCATATGCATATACATAAAAAACAAACAAACAAACTTATGGTAATATAGCAATAAATGGAAGTCCTGTTCGGAGTTTGAGGAAAGGGGGTGTTTTATACTTATCTGAAATATTTTTTAAGGTGTGGAGAAAAACAATTTCCGATTTGCTGTAAAAATGAAAATTCTTCAAAAAATACTATTTGGTCAGGGCATGGAAGAAGAAAAGTGAATTTGGAGTGATATAAAACAAATACCGATTACAATCAGAAAAATTCAGAAATAAAAAAAATAACTTTTTCCATGGCTGATTTTGAAGAGAAACTTACAATGTTGAGTTAACATACAATATGGCAAGGACTCAACGTAGTTTTTATTAATGAATTTATTTAATTGTGATGTTTCTTGTCTATATACAGTATTCAGGTTTTGTTTTTAAAATGATTATTAATTTTAAAAATATTTAAAATTGAATTATTTTAAAAAATCAACAATGAACTCTGCGCGGTATTTATTTTGTGACAACAACATATTTGTACGGAAAAAATATTTCAAATAAAATTCAAATCTGATATATTTTCAAAGTACATATATAATACATTTTAATTAATGTATTTTGAAATAAGATAAGGTACTAAAATGTTAGTACCATTGAGTAAATCCTTGTTTTCACAGAACATACCTAGCAAAGTTTCAACCTGAATATTTTAAACCATTTTCAAAATAATAAAAAAAATGAAAATTATTGTTGAATCACTTTTCTCTACACCAGAATTTTAAAGTTTTCTCCACAAAAGTATTTTTGTTTTTCCGTTCGAAAAGAGAAAATAAAAATTCCCCCCTTAACCAAAGGTAACACAAAAAAGAGGAAGCAGGAAATCAGCTGATACAAAAAGGTAATAATGACAATAAAATATTATGAAAGCAAACAGAGAATAATACATAAACATATACGTAAATTTTGGGGTGCTTCAAAATGAATGCAGAAAAATCTATTTTTATCAAGGCCCTAATAAGGTCGGCCAAGAAGACTATAATTTGCCAGTAAGCTTAGTAATTTTTTGAACTTTAAATCCGAATTATGTCTTTTCACATCAAACTTAGTTGTCAGATGGGCTTACTGGCCGACTTTATGTTGCTCATGATTTTGTATCAAATATCCATTTCAGAAATTTGTCACAGAAAAATTATGAAAATTTTATAAATTGACATGGAACACTTTTGAGCAAATAAGTTAGATAATTGCAGTATAGATGGACAGTGATCATGCAAAAGTACAATTGTGGAGAAAATATATATTACTTCGATCCCAAATTTTCAGAAACATTTGAAGGATTCTTGGAAAATAGTTCAGAATATCAAATAAATGATTTAAACAAGTTCAGAAGCAATCATAATCTTTTTTATGATTCAAATATTTTCTAATTTGTGAAATGTTTCATTCGACATTTTTATTCAAAATTTTCGCCTGGCATCTCAAAATTTTTAACTAATTTAAAAATTGTTATTAAATTTCCTGTGAGAAATCATCGAACTATTTCATTAAATTTTAATCCATGCATTTCGAAACACCTTGTATAAAACATCTAAGTACATTTGAGATTTTTGTTTTTGTTAAGGAATAATTAAAAACTAAATTATAAAACAAAAACATTACATTGAGCAATTTCAGATCATATTATGCCTTCTGGTAGGATTCTAACTTACTACAGATTTAAATAAAAAATTAAATCCTTTGATTTCCTCACAACGGCACCATTCATTATTTTCGTTTTCATACAAAATGAACAACAACAGGCAAAAAAAATATATAATAAAATATTTATATAAATCATAACTAAACTTAACTGGGAGTTCAGCAGGTGGAGGGGTTTTCACCGGCTGAGTGTACAAAAAAAAAATAATGTTTATAAAATTAAACTAGAAATTAATTAATTTACGATTTAAAAAAAATATATATACGCATACACACAAACATAATGTTTACGATAATAATCATAATAAGTGTAATATTGAAAAAAAATGCATAGAAAATATCTAGCTTAACTAATATTAACAAAAAAAAAACTAAATGTATGTATGTTTTGTAAAGAAATACAACTACAAACAAATATTTAAGTAAATTTATTTATTTCTTGTTTTAAATAATATATATTTTTTTATAAAAATGGCAACATTCAAAAAACTTGTTTTCATTTTCGTTGATATCGTTACGAACTTAACGTATAAATGTGGGTGTTTTTGTGTGAAAAAATTAAAAATCGTGTAATTGTAGTTATGTTGATGATGGTCCAACAAAAACATTACTAATTCGAATTATGTATTTAGTAGTTGGGAAAAATAAAATCCCAACGAAATATGATGAAGTTGCATGAGTGAGTGATGATGACGTCGCTGATGATGATTCTGGTTAAATGCCTCCGATACCAAGCAAACCAAAAAAAGTGGCTGCACAACATTCAAATGATGTTTTTGGGGGCAATAAGTAGTGGCAGGCAGGCAGTGGAAGGGGGGTTTCGAGTAAATGTGTAGTTTGTGAATCCTGGTATTTAGTTTTGTTTTTGTTTTCACTTAGCTAAATTCATAACAATAAGTGCACATTTCTTTCCATTTTTTTTTTTTAAATAAATAAATAAAACCAAACGACTTGATTAAGTATTTCACATTAAACGCATGGCATGGCTGCGTTACGTGTTGTACTTTGAAAAAGTGCATTGAATTGTAAAGTTCTGAGATTACTGTGTGATTTTGGAGTTCCTGTTTTTTGTTTTTGTTTCTTCTCTACAACAGGTTTCAAGGATATATTCTTAATAACTTAAACAAAATAAGTTACAAAACCTTGTTTTCTTTTTTTTTGTTTGCTTTCCTTTTTGATAGTTTGGTTTTTAGGCTAAGTATGTAATTCGGTTTGCCGCTAATGGAAGTGTGTGGGTGTCTGTATATGATTTCAAATGGGTGGGTGGTATGTGTATGAACATGTTATGTTATGTTGTGTTAGTGTGTGTATTATCAAAAAAATTTACACAATTATTTCACGTATAACACGACGATTCCGTGAATTCGGTGTGGACGAATATTCACCCTCAAAACTATCATCGTAACTCAGAGACATGTGCTGTTGTGGCGATATAACTTCATCTTGTTCCATGTGTTCCATATTGTATGGATTTGGCAGACCGCTTACGTCGTGATATGGTGAATCTGTAAATGATAGAAGAAAACGACAATTAATTGTTGTTCTCTGCAAATGTATTACATAGCTAATTTAAACAAATAATAAAAAAACTGTGTTGGTTTTGTTTTATGGTATAAAAATCATATGGGAGACTGTTTCTACGGGTACATGTGAAGATGATGAGTGCGTATGTGTGTGTGGTTTGAACATGATCAAACAAAATTGGTGCAATAATGTCGAAATCAAAACAAAAATCCTTTCTTAAATACTTTTTTCTTGGGGCTCACTGGCAACTTACATTAACAGCGCTCTGTTAGAGCGTAACATCCTGTATTATATCCGCTGCAGAAATGTGTTGGCATTTCCAATTACAAATAACGAAAATAATAATTTATAAAAATAAAAATTATAGGAATAAAGAGATGCAAAACAAAAACCAATTGGTTAAAATTTTGGAACAAATTTATTTTATTATTGGTTTTAAAGTGAAATCAATTGTAAATTGAAACGAAATCGTATCGGCATGGTACACAGGAATTGCATTTTCGCGAAAAGGCCAGGAAATGCAAGTGCATTCGTTCTGTACATGTGCACTTGCTATTGTTCCCACCAGCATTGATCTGTTGCTAGAGGTTGCAGTCATATATAAATCCTTTCACCCCACCGCCCCTCGCTATTCACTTCAGTGCTTCGGACAAATAATTCGCTACAATGATTTTGCATTGATAAATGGAGAAAAAAGAGTTACGTTTAAATTTTATTTCACTCTGAAGATTTAACAGGTGACCTGGCCACAAATAAATAATTTCTATAAAAGTATTTAAATGTCCATCAATTAATTTACAGAACATCACTAATAACATAATCTCTTAATCATAAGTGCATGAGCGCGGTGCGACACAGCATAGGTAGGGAAAATAGATATACAGGGTGAGATGAAAAAACTGCAACCATCTTCAGACTGCTGACATTTCTAAGCCACTCGTCCGACAGCTGTTAAAATTATTCCAGTGACAGCTCATTATATTGTTTACAAGTGAACAAAAAAAATTCCAGCAAAAAAGTTATTCGTGATGGAAATGAAGCGTGATAGTGTGATTTCTTTATATTTGACTGGAAAACCACAAGTGGCTATCGTTAGAGCACTCCAGCATTTAAATGTTAATAAATCTTTTGTGTCTCGTACCATCGCTCGTTACCGTGATACTGGTAGCGTAGCCCGACGTCAACAAAGTGGACGGAAGAAAACAGCAACATCAGCAGAAATGGTTCGAAAAGTAAAGAAGCGGCTTGATTGAAACCCGCGTCACAGTAGCCGAAAAATGGCTCGTGTGCTGAACATATCGCACTATTCAACTCGGCAAATATTGAAAAATAAGCTCGGCGTAAAGCCATTGAAATTCCAAAAAGTGCAAGAACTTACACCTCAACAGAAGGAAAATAGACTCAAAAGAACTAAAGAGTTGCTTCGCTTGGCCGAAAGTGAGAACTGCCGAATTTGTTTCTCCGATAAGAAAACATGTTGTCCGGCAGTTTGTAAACAAACAAAATGATCGTGTTTACTTGCCAAAGAGGTCGACTGAAAATGTGCACCTTCGGCTGGCCACCGGAACTCAAGCGCCGGCCATGGTGATGGTTTGGGCCGCCATAACAGCCGATGGTCGCCCTCCGCTTGTATTAATCGACCGTGGCATCAGAATTAATGCCGAATATTATCGGGAAAATATTCTGGAGGGTGTATTAAAATCATGGGCACGCAAACATTTTGGCCGCAGACCTTCTAAAAGGACTCAGCACCATCGCACGCAGCATGCGCCATTCAAGAATGGTTGCAAAATGAGGATCCTCGCTTCATTTCCAGCGCACAATAGCCACCAAAATCTCCGGATACCAATCAGTTGGACTATTGTGTCTGGAGTATTTTGGAAAGCCAGGTTGGCACTAAAAAATACCAAAGTCACCAAGATCACCTCAAGCAAGCGCTTCGCCGGGAATGGGCCAAATACCGCCGAGCAACATTCGTGCAGCATGTGACGGCTTCATTGGCCGTTTAAAGGCCATAATTCGTGCCAAAGGTGACCCATTCGAACAAATCTAAACTTACTCTAAAATTTAATGCTATTTCCGACATTTTTTGCTTTCATTCGATAATATTTAAAAATAAAATGCAAAAATTATGGCGTTTGACTTTGTTGCAGTTGTTTTTATCTCACCCTGTATTAATCGTAAAATATAAATAAAAAATATTTTTTCACCTTAACTTTTCCAGACTGAGGCGTTAATACACATCTTAGGAGCAGGGATGCTTGAAATCGATATATCAAGTTTCCAAATTCTAGTCTACATGTTTCTGCAAAATTCTGAAACTTTAAAAATCACCTATACCTCCAAAAGTCATGACTGGTATATTGAACACTTAAGTAATGCACCGACAAACCCTAATTGACTAATTTTGTACATTTAAAACTAAAATTAAAAGACCAGCTGGGTCTATATTCATTTATAAATCATTATCACCTCCTTTGGCATCTTAATTAAATTTATCAGACACACGTTCTATTTATTTTATTATATAGACAAACTAAATTTATTTAAATCAAAACAAAGAAATTTTCTTTTTCCTCATACAGATGTATGTATAGCTCTCTCTTCATCTATGGACTGATGGATTTTGTTGTTTTTGATTATTTTTGTTTGACTAAAATTGAATGACTTTCGGCAAAGCCTCTTGGACAAAGCACCTGTTACCAGGATATTTCATAAACGACGATGGCGACGCACATAGGCTTAGGTGTAATACTCTTGTGAATGAGAATATGTTTTGGTTGGAATATATCCCACACTCTACACACCTATCCATACTCTCACGCGCATACACACACCCACTCACACATTGGATATGCAAACATTTTCATATTGAAATGTGACAAACATTCACTCAACACCAAGGCTTTGGGGGCATATGTGACAATCCATGTGTGATATGTATGTGAATGTGTGGATGTTTTCTCGCCCCGACTTGTTTGCTCTGTTTCCTTTCAATTTGTGTGTATGTGTGTGTTGTGTTTTCCATTTTCATTTCCGGCGGCAATATCAAAGTTATCTAAAGACGTCATGTGTTCTGGTTATGAAATTGCTTGGCAGCTTTGTATTGTATTTGAGGTGAAGGAGAGAACAGCGCACAAAAAATACAAACAGCTTAATAGAAGTTCATATTCCGAATGGGAACAAAGACAAAACGAAAGAAAGAAAACGAGAGCGAGAGGGATTTAACTATATTAAATGGATTCTGATATTATAGTGCTGAGGTCGTTGATTGTGGTTCTTTAGCTGAAATATGTCTTCAAGTTCTAATGCAGTAGACCTTAAAACTTCTTTGTTGGCCCTTTTGCAGTTGGCTACTAAATAACTCAATACTTGCCTCTAAAAGTCATTTACTTATTAGTGTGAGTGAGTGTGCGTGTGTGCCTGCGACAACAATTTTTCATTGATTTTTAAATAGCAATATCTGCTTGTAAAGATACTTATTGCTTTCCGACCAACCTGTAATGCTTATGTACAATCTTTGCCCAGTATCAAACCACAATCTAGTCTAGTCATCAGTTATATTTATCTGCCCCTGTGTGTCCATCCGTCTGTCTGACTTGCCAGTTACTCTTGTCTTTGCAATTATCTATGAGTTGATGTTGTTTGTATAAACACACACACAAACACCAGCAAATACATCAATATGAGTATATCGATACATTTTGTGTATGTGTTTTGTAAATTCTTCCGTTTAAACTATTCATTGACGCATAAATGTTGCAGAGTGTCTCGACCATCATCAATTACCCCTATTGGGCCATACATCTTCCATTTACCAGATACTAAAAATAAATGTTCCTCCTCATTGTGTGTTCAACTTTTGGCCCCCATCCTAACTCTTGGTCGCACCCAACCCTTCCATAGCCATCTTTTGACCTGTGGCAATTGAAATACGATTTTTTGCTTACTTCCTCATAGTTGACCAAACGAAGCAATTACATGGCAGCTTGAGTGTATTCCAAATGGCTGGATGGATGGATGGATATTCTATCATTAAACTAGTAGTTTTATTTACTGTAGAGGAACGAACAGTGGGTTAGATGAGTATAAACATCATTTGGGGGCATCAACCGGAAGAATGTAAGGACATATCGTATTGGTAACAATGGGGGCCTTTTTTGGGGTTAAATTAACAAAAATGGCAGAGCTAGTTTTGACATTTTTGCTAGTTTTTCGATTCCTCTCTCTCTCTCACTCTCTTGCTTTTATATAAAAAGAACGGACAAACAACAAGCAAGTGGTTTAAACGAACTTTAAAAGTACGTTTTTGGTTTAAATTTCTATTGAAATTCCTGATCAGAAGCATTTATAAAAATTCAGTAATTTAATAACACGATTATTTATTTGAAAAAAATCATCGTTGAACACAAAATTATTGAAAATTTAAACTTTTTTTCTTACTGTAGAAGATTTTCTTACCGTTCCGTTTGTAACTCATCGAAATAATAAAGTATATATATTCTTGACAAAGTATATATATTCTTGATCAGCGTAAAATTCTAAGACTGTTTAGCCCTGTCCTTCCGTCCGTCTGTTGTAATCACTCTAGAATCAAAACGAATAAAGATAGCAAGCTAAAATTTTACACAGGTCAGTCTTTTGTGTTCGAAGATGAGTTATATCGGTCCACGATGTCGTATGGCCCCATATAACGATACGACCGATATTCGGCATTTTGATGATTGTAGCCACATTTTTAATGGGAATTTTCTGAAATTTCACACAAGGAGTTTCTTCTGAGTACTTTACTCCCTGGAAAATAATTGTTTATATAGGTCCTCGATATCGTATATCCCCCTTTAACGGTAGCTCCCGGTATCCGGTATTTTGGTAGCCATATTTTTCAATAGAATTGGGTGAAAATCCACACAAGGGGTTCTTTCTGAGTACTTTACCTCATAAAAGAGAATTGTCTATATAGGTCGACGATATCGTACAG